TTGGCCAATGGGTTCAGAATGAGAAACTGATTACATGGTTCAACAATAGGTAGTTATTTAATTGTATTCTTTTTTCAAATCTTTATTTCCTTGATTTTTAAATTGTGTTGAAGTACAATTTCTTTACACCAATATTTTATTCGGTTTCCAAGATTTATTATCATCTCTTAAATAAATTACCGGGAATCATGGAAACCTTGAACTTGAATTTAAATAAAAATGAAAAAAAGAAATAGTCAATTAAGCATTTTGGATAAAAATCAAAATCCCCCGAATAAGACCTAAATTGTTTACCATTTATTGTTGTTGTTGCTTTTGTTTAATTTATTTGATTTGCTGGCGTATTTTTTACCCTCATACTTTCTAAATGCGATTTTAATTGTTTGCTTTTCGATTGATTTCCATCCCAACTATTGTGTGTTGTTGTTGTGTTTTTATAAAATTGCCCATTCATTATTTTGCTATGAAATCGAATATATATTATTTTATCATTCTAAAATGCTAATGTTCATACCAATTGATGAGCAACGGAAATATAAATGTTTACATTCTGTGAATGTAAACACCACACCACACTGTGGTACAGGGTATTATGTCTTTGTGTATATGTTTGTAACTGGCAAAAAGAAACGAGATAGACACATGGTTCCTTTTGAGAATATGCATAGAATCACTTTTTAGGTCGATTTATGCATGTCCATCCGTCCGTCTGTCTGTCCATGTTAAATTGTAAACAAAGTACAGGTAACAAAAGTACAGTACAGGTCGCATCTATAATCCGAATTGGATGAATTTTGGCACAGGTAACCTATTCGGCCCATGGACGAACCCTATTGAAATTGGGAAAAATCGGTCCAGATTTAGATATAGCTCCCATATATATTTTCGTCCCATTTAAGGTAAATGGGGCACCAATATCGCTGTATATCTTTCGATTGGCACACAATTTGGCATAGGGTACTGAATTAGGTCCAGAATGATGTGTACCAAGTTTCGTGAAAATCGGTTCAGATTTAGTTATAGCTCTCATATATAATTTTGTCCGATTTTATGTAATGACATGTTTAATTTCATGTTAATGGTCCTTCAAAAATGCGACGTCTGTTAGGATTCCATCTTTTGAATATACCCAAAGTGGTGAAGGGTATCATATAGTCGGCCCCGTCCGACTTTAATGCTTTCCTTACTGGTTATGTTCTGCTCTAGGTTTTTACATTCCTTTCTAAATTACAACTTGTGCGATGCGAATCAATTTATGTACATATTTTTCTTTTGTATTACAAATAAATTTCCGTTTTATGTTTTGCAAAAAAAACAAATTCTGAAGATTTCATTTCGTCATTGAATGATGTTGAATTTTTAATTCGATTTCCATTACACTTTCATAATTTTAACATTGATAATATACGGTGCAGGTTGCATGCAATAAATGAATGTGGGGAAAACATCTGGTTGGTATACATAAATAATATGTGTATCGTGGGGAAGTATTCAGTATAATCTAGGTATAATGAACTCATTGTACAAAATTGTGTGGCAATCGGACAAACTTTTGGGTCTTTAGTGCATAATTTACATAAAATCGGAAGAAAAGATATATAGGAGCTATATCTAAATCTGAACCGATTTTCATGAAACTTAACACACATCATTCTAGACCTAATTCATTACGCTATGCCGTGCAAATCGAAAGATATATATTGACGTTGTTGCACCATATAAATTAAATCGGAGGAAAATATATATGGGAGCTATATCTAAATCAGAACCAATTTTCAGGAAATTTAACACACATCATTCTAGACCTTATTCACTACACTATACCAAATTTCGTGCAAATCGAAAGATATATATTGACTTTGGTGCACCATTTACATTAAATCGGAGGAAAATATATATGGGAGCTATATATAAATCTAAATAATTACGCTATGTCAAATTTCGTGCAAATCGAAAGATATATAGGAACTTTGGTACACCATTTACATTAAATCGGACGAAAATATATATGTGGGCTATATAAAAATCTGGACCGATTTTCAGAAAACTTAATACACATCATTCTAAAACAAATTCAGTACGCTGTACCAAACAACCTTCAAATCGAAAGATATATAGGGACTTTAGTACACCATTTACATTAAATCGGAGTTCAATGGAGTTATATATGAATCAGAACCGATTCCGACGAAACTTTTCACACAGTAGGTTATACTAACTTCAGTACGCTATGCAAAATTTTGTGCCATTCGGCCATAAATTGGATTTTTGGTGCACCATTTACTGAAAATCGGACGAAATTATATATATGGAAGCTATATCTAAATCTGAACCAGTTTCAGATTTAGGTTATACTAACTTCAGTACGTTGTGCAATATTGTGTGGCAATCGGCCATATTTTGGGGCATTGATGTACGATTTACTGAAAATCGGACAAAATTATATATGGGAGCTACATCTAAATCTGAACCGATTTTTCCCAATTTCAATAGGGTTTGTCCTTGAGCCAAACAAATGAGGACATGCATAAATCGACTCAGAAAGTGATTCTATGCATATTCTCAAAAGGAACCATGGGTCTATCTCGATTGCTTCTGCCTGTTACAAACATATGCACAAATACATAATACCCTGTACCACAGTGTGGTGAAGGGCCTTGAAAAATATTTTTAAAAAATCCACGCGTTGTGTTAGTCCTTGAAAAAATATTGTCAAACCAGTGAGCGGAGCAGTATAGTCGGACGGGGCCGATCATGCGATACCCTACACAACTACCACGGAACTCTCTGTGATATTTGCAACTTGTTGCCTGATTAGAGGTCAACAGCACATTTTCCTTACACTGACATATTTTCCGAATATTACTAATACAACCCTTCTAATCACTTGTCCAGATTCCCTTCACCGTGGGTTATGTTATGATATTCGGCTTATAATTGTGGCCTATATATCGACTCAAAAACACACAAAAAATTAAGTTTTCGGTACAGTTCATCCCAAAATTGTTATCATCACCGAAAATTATAGGCGTTGTCCTTGACCACATGGAAAAATTCTAATTCTATTTTCGCCCTCTAGTGCGGTAATGGGTTACTAAATAATATCTGAATACATAAGTACCTGTAAATATTGAAGTGTAACTCCCATATCCGAGTACATACGAAAATACAATTGGTATCAATTTAAAGGCCAACCACTCCTTTTGGATATACTATCAACTTCTCGGGCCTACGTCCTTCAAATGTAAATATATACTCCACAGAATACAATTGTTTTCATTTTTCACACAAAAGTCAGGGTCCATTTGACCCGCTAAATATTGCCCGATATTTATCAAAACAGACATGCTTATTCCGATCCCCTTCTCTATATACAAATTCGTGATGTTCGGGCCATAATTGCGGCCTCTGGAACGAACAGAAAATGGGCCAGAACCCATCCTACATGCAAAATTTCGTGAAGATTGGTCCATAACTGTGGCCCGTATCGTGTTTACAAATTATAATGGACAAACAAACGGACGGACGGACACATATGTCTAGATTGACTCCGCTAGTCGAGATATGACAATCGGTATACTTAAAGGTGGGTCTAGGACCAATATTTCGTGACGTTACAAACTCTTGGGGATGCACAAATCTATGATACCCTGACAACATAGTTGAGTAGGGTACACAAATTCAAAATTCACAAAAAAAAAAATGTTTAAAAATCTACGCCTATGTTTAGGAATTTAAAAATATTAAAAAAAATAAATTTCGATTTTTTTATTTTTCTTTTCCTTCAATTCCGCTACTTAAACCCCAAAGAAATTATTGAATAAGTGATTACGCATAATGAATATATATTTTTTTTTTGGTTTATTAGTAGTATAACATTGCTTGTGTGTCAGCTGTTTAATAACCAGCTGTGAACATAGTTTTGAAAAAAAAACAATATTGCAAAATAATGTCTGAGTCTCCATAATTACCACATATTTGGCTAATGGAAATTACACTCAATGGGCATTCAGTTGCCAATAAATTGGCATTTATATTGGCATTGATAAATTTTTGTTTTTGAATGCGGACACCAAATGTGCGATCATTTCGAACAACATATGGGTTAGATATTTAGTTTGGGTTTGATTACAACTTTCAATCAAAAATATAGTTAGGATTTTCTAAAATGTTGATCTTTGGGAATTTTCATCCCACTGTGTTTTAGTGGCAGCTATAATTTTGTTTTTAGATTTTTTTGATTTATATACAAAAAAACAACAACCAAACAACCTGTCCAACATGATGGACTCCCTTGAACTGCCGAATTGAAACGTAACGAACATGTTGCACATACCACATAGCTTTAAAGGCAACAACACATAATTACATGTGATGTTTTTTTTTGGTTTGTTGCCTAGTCAATTTTTGGATGCACTGGAAATCATGCCAAAAAATTGTTAACAAAAAAACATATCAAAAAAATTGGTAATAAACAACAAAAAAATCAATTTGATAATATCAACTTGTTGTTGTAGTTGCTATTTTAATTTCCATTCTCGAATAATGGAGCCAGCAACAAAAACCAAAACCAGTAGTGGTGCTGGTGGCAACAACCGCCATCACATTGGTCATGGTCAATTAAACTAAATACGTTGTTGTTGTTGTTGTTGTTGCTGCTGTTGTTTTTCCATTTGCTCTGCATGGTGTGGCTCCAAATCATTCGATTCATTTCGTGCGATTAGAAAATAAAATTTGTTTTTCACACACAAAAAACCCCCTGAATGGCAGTTTTCAAAATCATTCTTCGAGTGGTCAATGATCAACTTGGGTAGCAAAACGAGTTTTGTTGTGGGGTTTTTCGTTTTTCGTCGTTTATATTCTTTTTGTTTCTGGATTTCTCAAGAGGTCAATATGTAATATTTTTTAATATTTAGTTTTTAATAATTTTAATAATGTTTAATAACATTGTGTACTAAATTTTTCTGATTATGTTTTTTTTTGTCTTTGCAGCAATGAATAAATTAATATTTTCTTCAATATTTCTGCTGTGCGTGGGGAGTTGTTTCACGGCGGAAATTTTAATGGTTACCATGGGTGGCACGAAATCACATAAAATTCCCTTTTGGGAATTGGCAAAAGGATTGATAGAGAGGTGAGTTAAAAACAAAAATAAATAAAAAAAAAAATAAAAAATAAGGGCTACAGGAACTTGAACAAATATAAATATTGATCATATAAAATAGACCCACTAAAAATATTCTTTAAAAAATCACTGCCCTAGAGTAGATGGCCCTTGAACTGAAATTTAAAAACGCCCTCTGCTAGAGCTGTTGGTCCTCGAAAAAAATGTTAAATCCAAGTTTCTCAAAAAAGCATACCTTTAAAATTGCTGGTACTTTGAAAAAATGTTCTCAAAAATCCATTATTCGAAAATTATTTGTCCTTTGAAGACATTTCAAAATCAATAAGAATATTTAAAACATACGTTTTTAGAGTTTATAATCCTTGAAAAATAGTCTTAAAAATAGATATTAGAAAAATCGATATTTCTCTTGTACATAATCCTTGATACAAATATTAATAAAAAATAAAATGTTCATAAAAAGGTATAGAAATCTTCAATAGGAATTGGATCCTTTAAAAAATATATATTTTTTTGTAATCCCCTCTTCTGCTGCAACTTGCCGCTATTGATGAAAAAAACTCGAAATTGAGAAAGTTTTCAGTGAGGGTTTTTTAGATCTATTTTTCAGTAGTATAGACTCTGAAAATGTCGATTTAAAAAAATGAGGGTATTTTTAAGGAGAGTCAATATATATATATATGTTTGTAACAGGCAAAAGGAAACGAGATAGACACGTGGATCATTTTGAGAATATGCATGGAATCTCTTTCTGAGTTGATTTATGCATATTCATCTGTCTGTCCGTCCGTCCATCCCTCTGTTCATGTATTATTGAGAGCAAAGTACAGGTTGCATTTATTATCCAATTTGGATGAAATTTGGCACAAGTCACTTATTAGGCCCAAGGACGAACCCTATTGAAATTGAGTAGTCCAATATATAGAGTAGTCCGATTTTAGGTAAATGGTTCATCAGACTCCGATTGAGGCAAAACTTTGCACTGACTTTGGTCCAATTTGATGTCTGCGAAGTTATGTTGAAATCGGTTCAGTTTTAGATATAGCTAACATATATAGATTCTTCTGATTTAAAGTAAATGGTGCACGAAACTCCCAAGCATTGTCCGATTGTGACAAAATTTTGCACAGCGTACTGAACTAAGTCTAGTTTGATGTCTGTGAATTTTTGAGAAAATCGCATCAGATTTAAATATAGCTCGCATATATAGTTTCGTCCGATTTTAGGTACATGGTGCACCAAACTCCCAAAATTTGAGGCAAAATTTCGCACAGCGTACTAACTTAGGTCCAGTTTGATGTCTATTTAAATCGTTTCAGATTTAGATATAGTCCGATTTTATATTAACCCCTACCCCCTAGATCCTGTTTCAGGGGACACAAATTCTTCGCAGAAAATTGTAAATACACGTCCATTTTTTTCAATATAGGTTAATGTTCCGACATATTTACCATATAAAGATAACGACCGATTTTAAGATTTTAGCCACATTTCTCGCAAGACCCCTTATTCTGGTCCAAATATGTTTTCGATATTCTGATTGTCCTAGGTGTATTCTCTAAACATAGACGTATTCTTAACCATGTCCTAAAAATGTTCCCATGCATCGGAGAGTCTGTCATAAATAATATTCTTAAAATTGTCCTTAAGAGGGCAGCTCGGAAAGTTCTTAGCCTAACACAAAAATCGCGGTATTAACAGAAAAAAGTTAAGTGTTTTGGACGCACCCGCATTTTTTTACAATAAAAGCACGCATTCCTAGTTTTTCCATTGTAAAAAAATTGCGGATGCGTCTTCTTTGAACAACTGTTTCTATATGAAGTAGTTGCCAGATCGAAAAACAATATATGAAGTAGTTGCCAGATCGAAACAAAATTTAAAATATGTTCATAACAGAAATGGAAGTTACAAAGCACTTATTTTTTTTTTCCTCTTATACCGCGCTTTTTGTTTTAGGATAACAATTTTCGTATATAGATCCCGATCCATTTTCGATTTGCTGACTCAATTTCTACACAACTATGTTGTCAGGGTATTATAGCTTTGTGCACCCCCAAGAGTTTGTAACGCCGCGAAATATTGGTCCCAGACCCACCTTTAAGTATACCGATAGTAATATCTCGACTAGCTGAGTCGATATAGACATGTGTGTCGGTCCGTCCGTCTGTCCATTATAATTTGTAAACACGATACCGGCCACAGTTATGAACCGATCTTCACGAAATTTTGCATGTACGATGGGTTCTGGCCAATGAAGACCCCTACAGTTTTTCGTAAAGATCGGTTAATAGTTAGGGGATGAAATGGACAAAAAAATTTATTTTTGTCTGATTTCCTAGTCGCTCCAGAGACTGCAATTATGGTCCAAACATCGAGAATTTTTAAATTGAGAAGGGGATCGGGCCAAAGAATAAATATGCCTGTTTTGATAAAGATCGGTAAATATTGTAAACATTTTTTGTGAAAATTACAGAATTTTTATTCATTGGCGTATATATTTACCCCTGAAGGACATAGACCCGAGAAGTTGGTAGTATATCCAAGTGGAGGGGTTGGCCTTTAAATTGTTACCAATTATGTACTCGGATGTGGGAGTTACACGTAAATATTTACAGGTGCTTACATATTCAGATATTAGTTAGTAAACCATTACCACACTGGAGGGCGGATCAGATATTAATTTTTCTTAATTTCAAAAATATGTTTGTCTTTGAGAAATTGGCTTAAAGATCCAATCTTCTAGAACTGATCCGCCATTTTTACTTGGGATTTTTTATACCATTTTAAATTTGAATATATGAAACTCACATCACTTGATGAGAAAATTAATGTGAACTGAAACTGTTTAGAAACAAAAGATTTAAGACACAAACACTACCCTTTTGTTTTCCCATTATAAAGCCATACATTTTCACAAACAGAAGAATATTTAAAGGTTTATGTTCCGACAGTCAATACAAAGGATTTCAAATAAAAATAATAAATTCTTCAATTGTGCGTGACAATTGTCAAACTTGGAATTCCTTTCAAACTTGGAATGTCCATTTAATGCATCTAACTGGACAATGTTGTGAAAAGCTACAATACAATTCCATTTTATTGCATATTCATTGTCAGATTATGCAATCGAACTAAGGAAATAAATCATTCTTTGGAATGACACGTGACCAGGAACAAAAGAATTCTTTAATTCATTAATCCAGACATCCGCAGGGCATTGTAAAATACTTTTTTTTAATTCACACAATTTCACAGGTAATTTATTGACCTGCAGCTTCTTGCAGGTCAATAAAAAATATTCTTTATTAAATCTAGATCCACTCCTCTATATGTATCTGCAGGTATTTGAAAACTATTCTTAAATAATTCCACATCTCTCTCTCTCTTTTTTAACACGCAACTTATTTTATTAAGCAAATGTGTGCCTGGCATGTCGCTGACCATTGTCCCGCTTTATGAAACAACACAAATAGCAAATGTCATAATTAGATAATTAGCTTGTTGACATTTGATCTCTGAACTTTGTTTTGTTTGCGTCTAAGGCGTGTGTGTGTCGTCTTTTATAAAATTTAATTTGGTGTTACAATTTTTATTAAATTTTATAACTGTTTCATATAAATTTCTCAATACCCTTTTGCCCCCCTTTTTCAAAATTTGTGTTTGTTTTTTTTTCATTTCAGGGGTCACAACATAACTTTCCTAAGTGGTTTTCCCTCCGATTTCCACATAGATGGCCTGCACGAGGTAACACCTGCCGGTCTCGTTGAGTATATACAAAATTATACAAATTGGGATTTGGTTGGGGCACGGATGTCAGGTGAAATGCCAATCTCGGTATGGGATGGTATACGTTATGCATTCCAGGTGAGTTGAATTAAAAAAAAATAACACAAAAATTACAAAACTTAGAAATATTAAATATGGTCATTATAGAGATCTACGTGCATGAATGACTATGACAAATTTGAAAATGAGTGTGATTTTTTTATATAAATGTTCTGGAATAAAAAAAAATGGTTTATGACAAAAATATCTTGGTTAATGCATTTTAGGCCTGGAATCTCAATGTAATTTTTCAGCTGTAAATGTTAAAAGTATTTTGAAATAAATGCCGGTTTTCCATAGAGCCTATAATTAAAATGCAATAATAATTAATGTGTACACTCAAAAAAAAAATTATACAAAAATAGTAAAAAATCACTTCAATATTTTTAAAAACCCATGCCTTGTGTGTCTTGAACAGTTCTTGAAAAAATAGTTTTTAAAAATCCACGCCTCTTATAGGTATTGAAAAAATAGTTTTTAAAAATCCACGCCTCTTATAGGTATTGAAAAAATAGTTTTTAAAAATCCACGCCTCTTATAGGTATTGAAAAAATAGTTTTTAAAAATCCACGCCTCTTATGGGTATTGAAAAAATAGTTTTTAAAAATCCACGCCTCTTATAGGTATTGAAAAAATAGTTTTTAAAAATCCACGCCTCTTATAGGTATTGAAAAAATAGTTTTTAAAAATCCACGCCTCTTATAGGTATTGAAAAAATAGTTTTTAAAAATCCACGCCTCTTATAGGTATTGAAAAAATAGTTTTTAAAAATCCACGCCTCTTATGGGTATTGAAAAATAATCTTTAAAAATTCCACGCCCTTGGTAACACCTTGAAAAATAATTTTTAAAAATCCACGCCTTGTGTGAAGACCCTAAAAAATAATTTTTAAAAAATCCACGCCTTGTGCGGAGGGAGACCCTCAAAAATAATTTTTAAAAAATCCACGCCTCTTATAGGTATTGAAAAATAATTTTTAAAAATCCACGCCTCTTATAGGTATTGAAAAAATAATCTTTAAAAATCCACGCCTCTTATTGGTATTTAAAAAATCCACGCCTCTTATAAAAATAGTCTTTAAAAATCCACGCCTCTTATAGGTCTTGAAAAAATAGTCTTTAAAAATCCACGCCTCTTATAGGTCTTGAAAAAATAGTCTTTAAAAATCCACGCCTCTTATAGGTCTTGAAAAAATAGTTTTTAAAAATCCACGCCTCTTATAGGCCTTGAAAAAATAGTCTTTAAGAATCCACGCCTCTTATAGGCCTTGAAAAAATAGTCTTTAAGAATCCACGCCTCTTATAGGTATTGAAAAAATAGTTTTTAAAAATCCACGCCTCTTATAGGCCTTGAAAAATATTCATTAAAAAATCCACGGCTCTTATAGGCCTTGAAAAAATAGGTTTTAAAAATCCACGCCTCTTCTAGGTATTGAAAAAATAGTTTTTAAAAATCCACGCCTCTTATAGGCCTTGAAAAATATTCATTAAAAAATCCACGGCTCTTATAGGCCTTGAAAAATAGTTTTTAAAAATCCACGCCTCTTATAGGTATTGAAAAAATAGTTTTTAAAAATCCACGTCTCTTATAGGTATTGAAAAAATAGTTTTTAAAAATCCACGCCTCTTATAGGTATTGAAAAAATAGTTTTTAAAAATCCACGCCTCTTATAGGTATTGAAAAAATAGGTTTTAAAAATCCACGCCACTTCTAGGTATTGAAAAAATAGTTTTTAAAAATCCACGCCTCTTATAGGCCTTGAAAAATATTCATTAAAAAATCCACGCCTCTTATAGGCCTTGAAAAATAATCTTTAAAAAATCACGCCTCTGCTAGGCCTTGAAAAATAATCTTTAAAAAATCCACGCCTCTGCTAGGCCTTGAAAAATATTCATTAAAAAATCCACGCCTCTTATAGGCCTTGAAAAATATTCATTGAAAAATCCACGCCTGTTATAGGCCTTGAAAAATAATCCTTAAAAAATCGATGTCATTTATAGGCCTTGAAAAATATTCATTAAAAAATCCAGGCCTCTTATAGGCCTTGAAAAAATACTCCTTAAAAATCCACGCCTCTTCTAACCTTGAAAAAATATTCTCTAAAAAATTGTTTTGAAAATGTTCCATTTTTTGTTTTCAGTCTTGCGATGCAATGCTGGAAGATGCTGAAACACAAGCCTTGATGAATCGTAACTTCGACTTGGCCATATTGGATGGTGCCTATCCGGAGTGTGCCCTCGGCATGGTATATCAATATAAAATACCCTTCATGTATATGAACACGGTTGGCTTCTATACGGGTAGCCTTTCGATTTCCGGTAATCCTGGATCATATGCTGTCACTCCAAACTTCTATACAACCTTTACGGATAATATGAATCTGCTGGAGAGGGCAGCGAATACGGGTATACAAATATTTACCGATTTAATGCATCAGGTAAGTCCAAGGTCAAGAATTCTTCAAATTGAAATTTCATTAAAACGATATTTTTGGTGTATTTCCCCAGTTCGTCATGTCCCTTGTGTATCGGGTTCTGAAGCAGCGCTTGGGCCATCAAATACCCCATCCTTATGAAATCTCGAAAAATGTCAGTTTCATTTTACAAAATGGCCATGCCGTGGTCTCCTATCCAAGGACCCTAAATCCCAACGTAGCCGAGGTGGCCTGCATCCATTGTAAACCTGCCAAACCTTTACCCAAAGATTTGGAGGAATTCATCGCCTCAGCTGGAGAATCTGGTTTTATTTATGTCTCAATGGGCTCCTCCGTAAAGGCAGCAAATATGCCCAAAACATTACGCCGTCTATTGGTACAGACATTTGCCCGCCTGCCCTATCATGTTCTGTGGAAATACGAAGGAAGTGCTGGAGAAATTGATGGCCTTACAGAAAATGTAAAAATCAGCCGTTGGTTACCACAACAGGATATTTTGGGTCATCCTAAGTTGAGAGCCTTTGTCACCCATGGTGGTTTGTTGAGCATGTACGAGACGGTGTATCATGGAGTACCGGTTGTCACAATGCCCGTCTTTTGTGATCATGATGTTAATTCAGCTAAGGCGGAAGTTGATGGTTATGCCATTAAATTGGATTTGGCAACGTTGTCGGCTGGTCAGCTATACAAATCGATTATGAAAGTTATACATGATCCTCAGTATAGAAATGCAGCAAGGTAAGGATGGAAAAATCTATTTTATTAATGTTTGTAATAATATAAGTGGTCGAAGACTGTATTTGACATAAAAACTAGGAAATCATACTAAAAATGTGAGCATACTTTTAGGCGTCATTCGTTAACTTACAACAACAATAATACCAGTGGTGCCGTTTAGATGTTCAGTTTAGGCCTTGAAAAAATATTCTTTAAAAAATCCACGCCTCTTATAGGCCTTGAAAAAATATTCTTTAAAAAATCCACGCCTCTTATAGGCCTTGAAAAAATATTCTTTAAAAAATCCACGCCTCTTATAAAGGCCTTAAAAAAATATTCTTTAAAAAGTCCACGCCTCTTATATAGGCCTTGAAAAAATATTCTTTAAAAAATCCACGCCTCTTATAAAGGCCTTGAAAAAATATTCTTTAAAAAATCCACGCCTCTTATATAGGCCTTGAAAAAATATTCTTTAAAAAATCCACGCCTCTTATAAAGGCCTTGAAAAAATATTCTTTAAAAAATCCACGCCTCTTATATAGGCCTTGAAAAAATATTCTTAAAAAAATCCACGCCTCTTATATAGGCCTTGAAAAAATATTCTTTAAAAAATCCACGCCTCTTATAAAGGCCTTGAAAAAATATTCTTTAAAAAAACGCCTATATCTCCACGCCTCTTATATAGGCCTTTAAAAAATATTCTTAAAAAAATCCCCGCCTCTTATATAGGCCTTGAAAAAATATTATTAAAAAAATCCACGCCTCTTATATAGGCCTTGAAAAAATATTCTTAAAAAAATCCACGCCTCTTATATAGGCCTTGAAAAAATATTCTTAAAAAAATCCACGCCTCTTATATAGGCCTTGAAAAAATATTCTTTAAAAAATAGGCCTTGAAAAAATATTCTTTAAAAAATCCACGCCTCTTATATAGGCCTTGAAAAAATATTCTTAAAAAAATCCACGCCTCTTATATAGGCCTTGAAAAAATATTCTTAAAAAAATCCACGCCTCTTATATAGGCCTTGAAAAAATATTCTTAAAAAAATCCACGCCTCTTATATAGGCCTTGAAAAAATATTCTTAAAAAAATCCACGCCTCTTATATAGGCCTTGAAAAAATATTCTCCACGCCTCTTATAAAGGCCTTGAAAA